TGTGCAAGTAAACATGTAGACAGTTTGAATGTAAACAATACAGACGTGTAAACAATGACTGGAGATGTGCGATAGATAAGAAATCATAAAGAGGTAGATGGTGATGGTGTAGGTGTGGTCCGAGGGGGATGGCTAAATGTGTTCGCCAGTCTCACAGGTTTTACTGGTAGGGAAGAAAGCAACATTAAAACAACCAAGATTACTGAGCTGTGGGTTATGAAACGCAACACAGATCTACAAATTATAAAAAAAGGTATTGCTCAATGTGACGCATATTGAGCAGAAGGGGCGTGTAGTTTAGCTCAGTAACCTGTGATTTTTGCTACTTGGATATGTGTTCAGTCAAAAAGCATCATAATACTCTGTTAATGCAACCTGACCACAAGAGAAAAGCAATCTTTTAACACATCCTTCCTTCCCAACATTTTAAAATATATATATATAGTTCTTAAAGTTTAATCTGTGGTTAATTGCAAAACTGTTTTCCACTTAAATTGAACCTCTGACAGCTGAGTCAAAAACAAATATCTCGTTCCCGATTTCTGCCATTAGCCACTTAGCAACTCATCCCTCTCCACCCCGCCTCCCTGTTTCTAACCAATTGCGTAGAACATTGATTCCCCTCAGCCAATTAACTGCTAGGAGGCACCTTGCCAATGGGCGGGGCCCGAGGCTCATATTTCTTCCCTATTGGGAGGAAATAAGGAGGCTGATCCTTTGAGTGACGTTGGCATCTCGTATTGGCTGCTTGGATGTCATTCTGGCTCGGATTGCTTGAATGTACAGAAGCCTTAATTGACCCAAGAAAGTGCTTTAATTGATTATTTGCATTTTGTTTTTTCACGAGTTTGAGTTTTTTTTTCCATTTACAAAATACGACGGTTAAAGCTCCGACGTGTTTAAGAGCTGGGAACTAACTGTTCAAATGAATCCAACAGTTATTAAGTCAATGGAGGGTTTGATCTGGAGCCACTGTCACGAACCAAGAGGCAGCCGACGGTGGTCTCTGGCTGCAGGGTGTCAGGAGATCCATTTCTGAAGACCCATAAACTCATTCATTCAGTGATAATGAATCAAATCAGATGCTTCCGCGGCGTTTCTGATCTTTACATTGCTGACTTGAGCCACGGTGACCTTTAAACTCGGGATCACTCCAGTGCCACCCCCACTACAAACCCCCGCTCCTCTCCAGACAGTTTTATCTTGCCTAACTCTGTTCAAGAACAGTCACCGAATGATGGAAAATGTGTGACCCGTTTATATAAAAACAGAGACGTTTCTTTGTACTTGCCCACGCCCCCTTGTGAGAATCGTAATAAATACACTCGTCGTTTTCTGGTACTCCACACTGGCGGACCCGTTCTGCTCGCCGACTATTCGAATAAAAAGAAGCTCGTTTTAAGAGGTCATGTTTTTTATTTAATTCAGGTGTGTAGCTGCGTCAGCATGCGTAGGCTGCAAACGAACAATAGGTGTATTCCCTGCTGAAAAAAAAGAAGAAAGAAAACACAACGTTTCGGCCGTGGAGCCTTCTTCAGGTGGCTGAATAAGTGTTTTCTTTCTTCTTTTTCAGCATGGAATAAACCTATTACATGTTTTTTTTTTTATTTAGACGTCGCAATAACCATCACGCTCCGTGAACGCGGGCGCGGTCCTAGTTGTAAGCCACGGTCTGGTCGATCCACTGCCGCAGCGCGGAGACGCGCGCGTAGACGGCGGGCGCCCGCACGTTGCAGTTCTGGGTGCCCCAGGACACGATGCCGATGAGGTACCAGGTGCCGCTCCTCTCGTACACCAGGGGGCCGCCAGAGTCGCCCTGCTCACACAGACAGAGTCAAGGAGGAAGGAGTGTTACTCCAGCAGGGAATTCCTCAGGGGGAGGAGAGAGAAACTGCAGCACCAGGTGGATTAAGGGGGAGCTACTGTATACAGAGGGCCGACTGTACAGCCTAGACTGCCCTTCTCTTACAACCAGCCCTGGGATTTTGAATTATCCAGGGGTCAGGAGCTGATGCCAGATGTTTGATGCCTCATCTGAAAGACAGCTGCTTCAGTCCCTTGTCCTCCCAGTGGGATATTGGTCTGGAACTTCTGCACCAGGGGGAGGAGAGCCTCCTACTGGTCCCCTAACACAGCTTACAGCAGCCACCTGGTGTCCCTCAGAGGTCTCCCACCCCAGGATGTTGTAGGCCAGGTGCTGCTGAGCTCCTGATCTAATCAGGCAACGGGGGGCGGGGGCTGATGTCAAGTCAGTGACGTCATATTGTTCACCTGGCAGGACGAGACGCCTGAGGCCCCTGCGCAGATCATGACGTCAGAAATCTTGTTTCCCCAGTACTGCCTGCAGGCCGCCGGGGTCAGGAGGGGCAGCGCCACCTGCTGGAGACGAGGGGGAGAAGCTGCAGAAAAACAGAGAGGGATGTGAAATGAGAGACAGAAAGTAGATGGATAGACAGTGAAAGAGTTA